TTTTTTTTTTTTGTTTCTTTAATTTTTAATGATTTAATGATTTGATCTTTAAAAAAATCTTTTTTAAAAAAAGGGAGTTAAAAAAAACCCCATTTCCTTCATTTCCTTCTTGGTTCTTTGTTCTTTTCAAAGATTTTATTATTTATTTATTTATTAGTAATTAAAACCTCTCATGCATTTTTTTTTTCTTTTTCTTTTTTTAAAATCAATGAAAATAAAAATAAATAAATAAATAAATAAATAAATATGTAATGACAAAGAAGAAGAGAAAAAAAAAAAATAAATCAAAAATAAAGTAAAAATATAAAATTAAAATAAAATATAAAATTAAAATAAAATAAACTAAAATAAATTAAATTAATATGCAAATTATATAATAAGATCCAATGATCTATTATTAAATTAAATTATTATTGTTTATTTCGTTTATCCCTCTTACTTACTTTCTTTTCTTTTTTTCTTTCAAAAAAAAATCCTTTCAAAAAAGTTCAAAAAAAGGATTTTCAAATTATAAATTATTAATTACAAAGAGGAATATACTGTATTACTACTATTACTACTATTACTACTATTACTGTATGATTAATCATTAATTATAAATCATACTTCTTAAATTTTTTTGGGGGATAAGTCCTTTTTTTTTTTTAAGAGTTAATAATAATAATAATTATAAGAAATAACATATAATAAATTACATACTGTAATAAAAATTTTCCGAGAAAAAAAAAAAATTCACAGATGAGATCAACCGATAAGATTAACCAATCTCATTTTTTTTCTCTTGTGACCAATCAAAATCGACATCGGCTGAAAATAATTTTTTTTTAAAAAAGTAAATAAAGAAAAAAAAAATCGAAATTTCAAAAACGTAAAAAAAAAACATTTACTAATTGCATTATGGTTTTCCCGTATTTTATAAAATAATCTTGTATAAAAAAAATTTTTTATCACATAAAAGACACTTAGAAATCACCAAATCACCCAAATCATCTTTTTCCCGAAATCTCCGAAATCTACAATAGCAAATAAATATTTATTATCCACAATTCCACAACTCCACAATTCCACATTATCCACATTATCCACATTATCCATATTGACAAATTTATTTCGAAATACTTCTTTAGTTAGCAATAATTAGTTAGTAAAACACGTTAATTATCATAAGCCGCAGTGAAAGATCGGATGTTTCCTTAACTACCGTTCGAAAACTTCCGAAATTTTCCGAATCTTCTGATCAATTCCTTTTTCCTCCATTGTTCTTTTTTTATTTCATCGTCGCAGTAAATCATCAGTTCATCACTAACCCAATGATTTAGTACCCCGCTTCACACCGGGGTACATACATATACAGAATTTACGTTACGCCGATCGTTAAATTAGAATAAGTTTAATTAGTTTAGATCGTTCAATTTATCCAATTATAAATCTCGTGATTTCAAGAAAATGAAATAATTGTTTTTGCATGTGAAACGGGTCCTGGGAATTATTTTTAGGACCGATTCTTTTTCAAGAATCCAAGAATAAGTCGATCAAAAAAACCCCCGCGCGTTATTCATACGTTTACATTGTTTTTCGGATTATCTTTTTACTGTTTTAAGCTCGTTTTTTAAATTACTTAAATTACGCAATTTATACGAGAAATTGAATTTGGTCAAATAATTTACAAACAAATAATTAAATAATTAAATAATTTGAATTAATTTGAATAATTGCTTCTTTAACATTTTTTTCTCACAGTTTTCTCACAGTTTTTCTCACAATTTTCTCACAATTTTCTCACAACCGAGAAAATAAACATTTTTTTTTGTAATACAGAACTAAAAAAATTTTTCAATGAAAAAAAACAAAGACTTGACGATTTTTTTTTATTAATTTTTTCAAGACTCTGAAAAAAAAAGATGATGAGGAAAGGAAAAAAAAAATAATTATGTACAAAAAGAAAAAGGA